TTTTTTGAGGCAGAGTCTCACTATGTTGCCCAAGCTGGAGTGCAAAGGTGTGATCATAGCTCACTGTAACCTCGAACTCCTGTGCTCAAGTGATACTCACATCTCAGCCCCCGAGTAGCTGAGACTACAGTCGTGTACTACCATGCCTGGATAATTTTTTTCTTTTTGTAGAAACAGGTTATCGCCACTTTGCCCATGCTGGTCTTAAACTCCTGGGCTCAAGCAATCCTCCTGCCTCAGCCTCCCAAAGCACTGGTATTACAGGCGGGAGCCACTACACCCAGCCTAAAATCACTTTTGATGATCACAGAAACAGCTGTTCAGTGTAGATATCTCTGGGCCCAGCAGAATTTGGTATGAAAGATAAGCTTAGTGAGTGACTGAATAAAGCAATGAACAAATTTTTATTGAACCCCCATGATGTGCTAAAAGCTATGATGAAGTTATTCCTTTTGATTTACTTCAAGTCCTACAAAGAATGGATCATTGATCCCAATTTACTAGTGAAATCACTAAAGTTCAGAGAGGTTAAGTAACATACTACAGCTAGTGGATATGAGAATAAAGATTTGGAACAATGAGAAATATCAATCCTCAGTGAAACACTGACCACATGCAGTTAAGTCTGCCTCAGCATTAATATTCTCATGGGGCCGCTCAAAGTGGTTAACTGTAAAAATGAAAAGCTATTAATAAGATGCATTAGTCAGGTATCAAAACCTGTTGTTACTTTGAAATTCTCATGCAATAATCAGCCCAATGCCAGAAGCTGGTACTCTGCACGCTAAAGGCAAACTTAGACAATTTAACTGCTTTGCATTTAAAGGAGAACATGTATTGCCAAAATGCTTACTTATGCTTTATTTGTTTGTATTCTTGGTATATTTGACATTATTTTGCTTGCTTTTCAAAGGCATTTAAAACACTCATATTAGGCTGGGCGCAGTGGCTCACACCTGTAATCACAGCACTCTGGGGGGCCAAGGAGGCAAATTGCCTGAGATGAGGAGTTTAAGACTAGCCTCGCCAGCCTAGTGAAACCCCGTCTCTACTAAAAATACAAAAATTAGCTGGGTGTGGGGACACATGCCTGTAGTCCCAGCTACTCAGGAGGCTGAGGCAGGAGAATCACTTGAACCCAGCAGGTGGAGGTTGCAGTGAGCTGAGATCACACCACTGTACTCTAGCCTGGGTGACAGAGCAAGATTCTGACTCAAAAAAATAAATAAAATAAAAACACTCATATTATAGATATGCACCTAACTCTAAAAGAGCATCTCCCAGCCAGATGTTACATCCAGATGGATTCCTGAAATGCTTGGTTATACTACATAGTTAACTGGAGATTGTACCTCACCTTTGTTATAAAGGCGAATACCTCATCATGTGTATGTATTTTGGCTGTGATGTTTTTCTAACTTGGATAAATGACAGATTGATGCTGGGGGATGTTAAAATAGTGAATATGAGATACAATGCCTGGAGAAATATAAATACAGGTCATCTGGAACTAGTAACTGAGACACACAAAACTGATAAGAAAAGAATTATCAAGTTAAGAGCATCCAATTATGTTAAGCATTCAAAGTGCTTTGTAATATTTGGAATGGCAAGCTGTCAAAAATAAAATGCATGGAATTAAATGGAAGATTTTTCATGACTAGAGTGATTGTTAAACTATACATTGGTACTCATTTGGAGGACAGGTTAGTGAAGGGTGCTTTGCAAACTTTCCCTCCTGTATGGACATTTTGGACAAGAAAAACTTCAGGTTTGTTTTTATTTTTTAAATTAGAAAACAACTGATAATAAAGGTTGATCATCCCAAATCTTAAATGCTCCAAACTCTGAAACTTTCTGAGTGTTAAAATGACACTCAATGGAAATGCTCGCTGGAGCACTTCAGATTTCAGATTTTCAGATTTAGGATGTTCAGAGAGTTAAGTGTATAATACAAATATTCTAAAATTCAAAAAAATTCTGAAATCTGACGTACTTCTGGTCTCAAGAATTTTGGATAAAAATACTCAACTTGTAGTAATCTTCAGAATTAATTACTACAGGAAAGACTTTTGTATCTGAGTGAATTTTTTCTGATGAGATGCTCTTTTTCATTCTGTATATGAAATGAACCTGCTGGTCGCTGGCTTTAATTAAAAAAACTTAATAAGCCAGCACTGTTTCTGTGCCACATATATAACAAAAATATAAGAAATATATGAAATGTGGCTAATTTACAGTCATTCAGAATGTTACTACAAATAGCAAAATTCATAGTTTTAAAAGTTATGAAAAGCGACTTAATGCCTGCAGAGAAAAATCAAGATACAGTTTTTAGGACAGAAATTCTTTATCCTGGCCCACACTAAATACTTACTGGCAGGTTGTTAAAACTATGTATAATAATTTCACTCCCCAAACCAATTAAAACTGATTTTTTTGGAGCTGTGGTGCAGGAAGTATTAAAAAGCCCTCTGGAGATTCGAAAGTGCAACCAGAGTTGAGAACTCCTTATGTAGGCACTATAGCCTGGCCACCGATGTATCCACTACTGAAAACTCAGGGCTTCATTTCTTCAGGTTATGCATCAAGTCACTGACATTGCAAAATAAGTGTTGGCACATCAGTATCACTTTTTGATTAATTTGGCTTTATTTTATTTCTCTTTAATTTATGAAAATGAAAACCCAATTCAAAATAATTGTTTACGGTCAAGCTAGAGATTTGAATGTAAAGCTTGCACAACTGAAGCATATTTTATGTGATAACATCAAAAGGCAAAAAAGGAGGTTGAGAAAACTTGTCACTGTTATAAGAAAAATAAATAAAATCTATATTACCCACTAATTATGAGTCAGGATAGAATCTATGAGTGTTACCAACATTCTAAATTCTGAGTGTCAAAATTTTATAGATCTTGAAATAGTAGTCTGTAAGTACTTATTCATAAAAAATTTGCATTTTTTCAGAATGGCAAAAATTGTTATTTTTTATTATGTGATTGCTGCTCATCATAAATCCTCCTTAGTATTTGCATCCCCATTTCTTAATAATTTCTTAACCTCAGAATATTATACTCACCCATTAAGTTAAAAACCAAGCATGAATATTTTTTTCTTAAAAAAATGCTAGGTTTTTTAGAATAACACAACTTACCTTTGCAGAGAGGGAAAGGAGTAAATAAATACTGAATATTAACTTACCCAAACAAAAATCGCTGAGGTCAGCAAAAGAACATTTGAGCACAGAGTCGTTTTGATTTTCCTCAGTGTTAACTGAAATAAAATAAGACACTTTATAGTTTTGGGAAATAAAAGCATAACAACAGAAAAATAACCATAGTGATGGATGGTTACGTGATGGCTGAACATAATGAAATTTTTTAACTTCATGAGTTAAAACTAGTTATTTAAAATTTCACTTTTCTTTTTTTCTTTTTTTTTCTGAGACAGAGTTTCACTCTGTTGCCCAGGCAGGAGTGCTATAGCACGATTTCCACTCACTGCAACCTCTGCCTCCTGGGTTCAAGTGCTTCTTGTGTCTCAGCCTCCTGAGTAGCTGAGACTACAGGCGTGCACTATCATGCCTGGCTAACTTTTGTATTTTTAGTAGAGACAAGATTTCACCATCTTGGCCAGGTGGGTCTTGAACTCCTGACCTCAAGTGATCTGCCCACCTTGGCCTCCAAAAAGTGCTGGGATTACAGCTGTGAGTCATCGTGCCTAGCCTAAAAATTTCACTTCCAATAAGCGAAATAAACATCTATATTATGTTTTAATACCCTCATCTTCTTGAACAATTAGCCACTTTCCTTACTGGACATATTTGTAAGCTAACTACAATATGTAGTGATTTCACAATAGTATTGAAACAATAATTTTGGTATTTTCTAGTTATCCAGAGAAAGAAGCAACCCTATGGAATCATAAGGTAATGTGTTCTTATAAGAAAAAGCAACAAAAGATTTAAAAAATAAAAATACACCCCATCCACTTCACAACAGGGAGCTTGGTTGTATTTAAATTCTTAACTGTTTAAGTTTTCCAAAGGGATAGTATATGTCTTAGTGGGCAAATGTGTGCAGAAGAGTGCCTAAGGGTAGCCACAAAGTTTCTTTGTGTGGCATCTATCTGGTACGTCTCCAAATTTCAGCCCTTGCATGCCAGGCTTGGGTTGCCAACACTTGTCCAGCCACATCTTTATGCAACCAAATCTTCACTGTTTTATTGTCAGTAGTAAAGTCTTCAGCCTTTATTTTCAGAAAACTGAGTTTATTATTGCTGACATTTTCTGTTTGAATACTGGTTATAAGTTCTCACCAGGAATGTTACCTCATCAACAAAGGGATGCAAATAGAGGCCAAATGCACCAGTGATTCATGCAGCTGGGACTTCCACTGCAAATATAAGGTCCAGGCTCCATGGGATTGGCCATTTTCAAGTCAAGGAAGGGATAAAATACATCTGGCCAACAAATGGCATGGTATACTGGTCTCCTTTCTATGCCAGCCTCCTTCCTAAAGAGCTGAATAAAACTGGTTAAATGGAAAAAGGAAGGAAAGGAGTGTTTTGAAAACATGCCGTTTTTATAAATTGAACAAGAAAATAGGAATTGCTGCTCACCTTGCTCTGCTTTGTCAGTGGAGATTAAGGTGATAGATGTGGGAGCCTGAGATTCACTCTCCGTTGACTGGAAGAGTGAGGTAGACTGGCTCAAGCTCTTTGAGTAAGCATAGCTCTGGGCGAGGCAAGGCAGGGATCTCCGAGATGGTTTTAATGAAGTTTCTTTTGTTATTTCACTCTTGCTTATATTCATACCTGCAAATCCAAAATGTTGAGTTTTAGCAATAAATTAAACAATCAGCAGAGGTCAACAAAAAATTTTAGTTCTCATGATGGCTGTTTCAGGAATGAACTATTGAAAAGCACCACCTAGATATTATAAATAATTGAGTTAGTTTTGTTTATATTTTGTAAGGGAGAGTGTTAGAGATTGTTGTTAAATAGTTCGAAACATCTCTGATTCCTGTTTGAGTTTTCACCACTCTTTTAAAAGTTCTGTGAAAAAGTAAACTGATGTTTAAGTTCAATTTGGGGAATTATGACAATAATTATTTAAATACTCTTTGAATAAACCTTATCTTTTCTGCTTTCAAGTAGCAAGATAAATAAAACCTAATGCATAAACATTCAAATTACTAAGTAGGGCCCTTCTTTCTAGACCCTCCCCTCCCTTAAACACATAGGTAATATCCTAACAGTGACCTAGAGGCTGGAAAGAGAGAGCATAATATAGTACAATAACTGGGCAGCAGGCAGGGATCAAGACCACCAACCCTGTGCTTACTGTTAAGAGCTACTTCCCTCAGGCACAGAGTCTCATCTTCCAGAAGTCAAAATGCCCTTCAAAAAAACAAGGCCGCCAAAAGCAGAATTTCCCCTCCACTGTGTGATCCAGCAAAAAATAGCCCCACTTCCCATCTTCAATTGTCTTCATCCCATTATGTCAATCCCAGGCCAATCCTCCCCCTTGACACTCTAAACCCCAATGTCTCTGGACACTGTTATTTCCAACATCTCCCACACAGACTGTTTCAGTATGTCCCTGAGAACTCACATAAAACTTCAGAAAATCCACTTAATATCCTCCTTGGATTTTTCTGTGGATCATTTATATTCCTCCATAATTTCACCCAAACCTGACATTTGCTCCATATTCCCCCAGTGACATGGCTTCTCTTGCAGCCACCTCCAGTGGAGGTGCTTTTCTCTTCCACAACATCATATCAACTTTTCTTGAGGTGGGGTAGATATCCTTCTTGCCCTTAATTGCCTATCTCAGTTTATTCTTCATGCTTCCTCTTTAAAAACCAGTATTCAAATTCCTGTCATTAAACTATTCTTCTAGTCTTCTTTATTACTGTCATTTTCATTTACCACTTCCAGGTTGTTTCCCATCATTTAAAAATAATTTAGCTGTTTTGCTTTTCTGCTTAACATCCACTGTCATTCATATTATATATTTTGTTTTATTTCTGTACACTTCCCTGGAATGCAAGCTCTATCATGACACATGAGTCAAATAAACCACTTTTCTTTATAAATTATCCAGTCTCAGGTAGTTCGTTATTACCTGAGACTGGATAGTTTATAAAGAAATACATTATTTGTATTTATGTGAAAATAGACTAATGTATATGGTAAATTGTACAAAGCTGCCTGATCATGAATCGCCCCCTAAAAAGTTTCTTACTGACACCTGAGTTGAAAAGTTGGATATGTATGCTGTCTACACAATGTGAATAAAACCACAAACCCCCCCCAACCAGTGCTGGGTTTGGACTTTACACTACATAAGGCAAAGGGACTTTTTATTGTGGAGTGCATATTACATGTCAGGCTTTGTGGTTGTTGCCTTTATTTATTCACCACGGGGATATTTATGTATTTTGCACATGCAAATTACGTAAAGTGTTCTCATTTTAAAATGTTTTAAATCGTTGAAATAAATAGAATAAAAAACTAAAAATTTGTTTTACTCTGATTCGTAAATTCCAATCTCTTCTCTAAATGAAGTGAATGTTAACAGTTTATAGGTCTTTGTCTATGTATTCATGTATGTAACTATGTATAAAAATAGTTGTCTTACAAAAATGAAAATGAAATTATAGTTAGTCACATTACATATTATATCTTAGGTATTTTTTCTATCTCAGTACATACAGATCTGTCCTAGACTTTTTTGAGTTAAATGTTTTTAAAAAGCTCTATTGAGATATAACTCACATACCATAAAATTGACTCCTTTAAGTATACAATTTAGCTGCTTTTAGTATATGCACAGAGTTGTATAAGCATCACTCTATGTGACTTTAAAATGTTTTTATTACTTCTCCAAAAAGAAACCTCATACCTATTAGCAGCCAATCCTCATTCCCTCTTCAGCTCAGTCTCTGGAAACTACTAAACTAATTTCTTGCCTCCATGCCTTTGCCTATTTTCTCCCATTGTATGGGTTGTATTTTCACTTTCGTGATTGTGTTCTTGGAAACACAATGCTTTAAATTTTGATGAAATCCAATTTATCTGTTTTTTTCTTTAGTTTTTTTGTGCTTTAGGTGCTGTATCTATGAAACCATTATCTAATTCAAGGTCATAAAAATTTACTCATGTTTTCTTCTAAGAGTTTTATACTTTTAGCTTTTACATTAAGTTATAATCCGCTTGTAGCTAGTTTTGTACATGGTGTGGAGGTAGGTTCCAACTTTATTCTTTTCCATGTGGATATTCGGTTGTTCCTGTACCAGTTGTTGAAATGGCATCGAATTGTCTTGACACCCTTGTCGAAAATCAACCCAAATAAATTTATAGGTTCATTTATGAACTCTCAATTCTAACCCACCTATCTATATGTCTATTCCTATACCAAAACCACAATGTCTTCAGTATTGTAGCCTTGTAGTAAGTTTTAAAATCAGAAAATATGAGTTATTTAGTTTTGTTCTCTCTTTTCAAGATTGCTTTGGCTATTCTTAGTCTTTTGTATTTCTACATAAATTTAATGATCAACTTGACAATTTTTGCAAAAAAGGCAGCTATGATTAATTTTTTTTTTTTTTTTTTTTTTAGACAGAGTTTTCCCCTTTTTTGCCAGGCTGCAGTGCAGTGGTGCAATCTTGGCTTACTGCAACTTCTGCACCTCAGGTTCAAGCCATTCTCCTACCTTGGCCTCTCAAGTATCTGGGGTAACATGTGCCCACCACCATGCCCATCTAATTTTTATTTTATTTTTGAGATGAGGTCTCACTCTGTCACCAGGCTGAAATGCAGTGGTGTGATCTCGGCTCACTGCAATCTCTGCCTCCTGGGTTCAAGTGATTACCTTGCCGCAGCCTCCTGAGTACCTGGGACTATAGGCGCACCCACACCAGGCTAATTTTGTATTTTTGGTAGAGATGGTGTCGCTCCATGTTGATCAGGCTGGTCCTGAACTCCTGAAACCTCAGGTGATCTGCCTGCCTCGGCCTCCCAAAGTGCTGGAATTATAGGTGTGAGCTACCATGCCCAGCCCCGGCTAATTTTTTTTTTTTTTTTGTAGTTTTAGTAGAGATGGGGTTTCACCATGATGGCCAGGTTGGTCTTGAACTCCTGACCTCAGGTGATGCACCCGCCTTGGCCTCCCAAAGTGCTGAGATTACAGGCATGAGCCACTGTACCCAGCCAGGCAGCTATGATTTTTATAGGGATTGCATGGAATCTATAATCACTTTGGGAAGTAGTGACCTGCAAATATATTCTGTCTGTAGTCTATATTTTGATTCTCTTACTAGTGTTTTTGATTGTCTTACTAGTGTCTTTTAAAAAGCAGAAGGTCCTAATTTTGACAAAATCTATTCTATGATTGTTTTATGGTTTATACTTTGGGTCAGGTGTTTAAAACTTTTCTTTATATAACTTTTGCATATTGGTTAGCTCCTCCTCTCTTCTGATTATTGTAAATGTGAGTTTCTTTCCCATTGTACTGAAATTACAAATAATCAATTAGATTATTTTAAACAATTGAGTAAAATGCTTGCTTTAGCACTGAGACACAACTGTTTTTTTCAAGTTAAAGATGTACTATTCAATTTCCAGTTTATTATTTTTTTGTTCAGTAGTGTGTTGAATTTTTTCAAATTTATGTAATTTTATTCCTTAGCTATCCTAATATGTTAAATTCCATTCATGAATTTTCTAAAGTTAAGTCTTCTTTTCATTCCCAGAAAACAAAAACAAAACACACTTTGTCTTAATTGTTTTAATATGTTAAATTCTAATTCCCAATATTTTATTAGGATTTTTATAATAATATTCATACATGAGTTACTTGTGTGTATGTGTTTAAATCAGACTTATGCATGTTCTCACTTATAAGTGGGAGCTAAACATTGAGCATACATGAACATAAACATGGGAAGAATAGACATGGCAGACTACTAGAGGGGTGGGAGAAGATGTGGGTTGAAAACTACCTATGGAGGGGCGGGCCAAGACAGTCGATTAGAATCAGCTACTGTGACCTCATGGAAAGAAATACAAGGGATAAGTAAATACAGTACCTACAACTGAAACACTCAGGTACATACATCGGTACTCATCAAGAAAAGACGTCGACCAATGGAGAATGGAGAAAATCAAGGCAGGATGACTGACTCACTACCTACCCAAGAGTGACACAGAGCCGGGGGAGCCTCACACTCTCGGGAAAGCATTGAGGGAGTGCGTGACCCTGGGGACCCATTCTTCTCTGACAGACCTTTGCAACCCTCAAGTCAGGAAATCCCCTTGTGAACCCACTCCAAGAGAGCCTTCATTCTGACAGGCAAAGCTATGTGGAGTCTTCGCAGAGCAGCCACTTAGGCACACGTGGAGCCCCAGAAACTTTCGATACCCAGGCTTCCCAACACAAGTGGCTGCAACTCCAGTAAAGTGAGAAGTTCGATCCTTATACATACCCCTAAGAAAGAAGCTGAGTCCAGGGGGTTGAGCAGCGACCATCTTCAGACCCCTCTTTCACAGCACCTCGTAGGATAAGACCCACCAGCTTGCCACAGCTAGCAGTGTCACACCTCCCTGAGATGAAGCTCCCAGAGGGAGGGTCCCACCTTTGCTATTTGGCAGACTTAGCTGTGGATGCCTTCTGGCTCTGGGGAATCCAAGGTCACTAGGGACTAGAGCTGTGCCCTGGAATAGTACAGCAGTTCTACAAAGAAGTGCCCAGACAGCTTTTTTATACAGGTCCTGGATCCCGTTTCTCTTCAGTGGGTGAAATCTCCCAA